CGCCCTGGGCCGGGGGGCTGGGGGGTCAGGGCCGGGGGCCGGGGGGGGCCGGGGGGCGCACGCCCGGGGCCGGGGGGCTGGGGGTCAGGGCCGGGGGCCGGGGGGGCCCGGGGGGCGCGCACCCTGGGCCGGGGGGGGCGCGGGGGGCCGGGGGGCCCGGGGGGGCGCGCGCCCTGGGCCGGGGGGCTGGGGGTCAGGGCGGGGGGCCGGGGGGGGCCGGGGGGCGCGCGCTGGCCTGGCTCCCCCGCGCCCACCGGCCGCTCGCCCCTAGTGCGGTGGGCAGAGGAGGAACTGGGCCCGGAGAGGAGGCACAGGGACGAGACCGAAAACAGGCTGGTGTTTGGCTGGGGAGGAAGGAGCATTTGTTAGAGAAAACCCCGGTTATGTAACTTTCTAGGCTTGGAATTTGCTGACATCTAGAGGTACGTGTGTTCAATGCCTTTTCTCCCGGCAACATCTTGGGCACAGAAGACAAACCCTTTCCAAACACCTGGTGCGGCCAGCACGTGTGCAAGAGCAAAGCTCCGACGCCGAGAGGAGGAAGCTGACAAGCTGGACAGTGTGTGGCCAGGCGAGGGGATGCCTCCTCCCTACCGCTGCGAAACCGTGTGTTTTAAAGGGCGGGGCAGGTTACTCTAAGTGAATATTACGGAACCAGTCAGGCAGATCCGAGAACATCAAGACTCTCAGAGAACACTGTTTGGTATGTAGATAACAACCATGTCGGTGAAGCGGCAGAAGGTTGCCACGGCTTGGAAATTTGTAAGGGCACCACGTAGGCACGACTAATAGTTAATATACAAAATCATAGAGACATCAGTCTGGACGCGCCGGGGTTCTGCCCTCAGGCAGGGGGAGCCGTGGGAGTTCCCAGACCCTTAGCACTCCAGCCCCCCATCCGTTCTGGCCGAACACAGTTGCTGCCACGAAGTGAGGCACTCTCCAGAGACGCAGCATTATTTATTATCCAAAACGCCTCATGTTGAGTCTAAGCCCACTTTCTCTGTGTTGTTCACCAGGAGCCTAGAATGAATAGTTTACCTCCATGCTGAAGCACACCATTAGTTTTAGCCTTTTTCTTCAATGGCAGCAAGAACTGTTTTAGTAATCCAGAAAAAAGTATAAATAGACCCGGATACAAGGCTAGTTGGGAGAGCAGCTGGATGGAAGGTAAACCTTGCCGGACAAGACCAGTCTGTATTGCACAGTGGCAGCTGAAATTCGGATTAGGTGGAAAGGTGACCCACGATACAGGGTTTACGAGGTTTTTATGTTCCTGGGATTGCTGCCATAAAACACACCATCAAAGCCTCTAGATTTTCCTGTGAAGCATTTTAGGAAAAAAAAAAAAAAAAGAGGGTAGAAAGAAAAGAAATCGGTGTAAAGCTAAGAGAATCTAAGATTACATAGGGAATTAAAATAGTTAGCGGCTGAGTATGGAATAACACTAAACAAAACTTCCTATGCAAGGAGAAAGAATCGTGGCTTCGTCCACTCTGAGCTTTGTCTACCAGAATTGCTCTTCGCAGTCATATTGCTTGCCTGGAATTTTAGCTTTACGTTTTCTAAGACTTTCCCATTTTCCAGACGTGTAGATGACTCTTTGGGCCCCTTCCACTTATACTGCATATTTACAGGGCATCTATCTGAGTCCCCAAAATGGCTGAAAAATAAACCCCCGTCCGAAAGGGAAAAGAAGCACGAAATCCTTGGGAAGGTGGGCGCCGTATTCGCAGAGGCGCGTGCCGGGAAATCCGGCCCCTGCACAGCGTCTCTAGCCCGGGCTTCTCTCGTTGGCATTCCAGCGCAGCGCCTGGCACTCTGCGAGAGCACACACGTCAGAGCGTGAGCGAGAAGTGGAGGGAAGCAGCACCCGTGGAAGGGATCTGTGGTCATGCCCACCTTCTTGGAAATAACCTCTCCAACGGCTGCAGCTGGAAGAGCATAATGAAGTTTTCTTTTTAGCTTTTCCCTTCCTACCCTAATCACAAGTAGGGGAAGTTAATCAAATACTCAAGGTCTACTTGAAAGAGTTCTCATCTTAGAAAAATACCAAAAATTTTTACTTAACACTCAAGCTATCCTGAGTATAATTTTATTTCTTATAAGATTCAAAAAGCACTGCGGGTGTCTTATTATAAGCATTATTTGACAGAGCAGCAAAACAGATTCTTCTTTTGAGATCTTTTTATAAAGTTTCTAGTTGTTTAGATTTATAATTGGGAATGTGCTGTTACTTCCTGATTTAGATTTATTTTATTACCTACTAAACATAGCAAAAGCCACTCATAACATTAATGGTATATAAAGAGTTTCGCGTTTCTTGGGGATGAAAACAATAGAAGTATTATTACTACAGATTTAACATAAGCAATATTTGGTTCCATTTCATTGTTAATAGAAGCAAAATTACAGAATTTTAGTGCTAGATAGGACTTCAGGTAGGTCACTCACATTTTACTATGAAGCTATTTCAAAGCAACTTTCTAGGCATTATTATCCTTTCTGGTTTATCTTCAGAAGCAATCCTATGAAATGCTCCACATATGTGGGTTACAGATTTATGAGTCATGATTCATATCCAATATTTCCGCCATTTCCAGGTGCCGTTCAGGAGACATCTGGGCTGTGAAAGTGAACACTGCTGGGGAGGTGAGGACCACAGAAAGGCCGTGAGGCTGAAGAGAAACACACTGTGGTGATCAGTGGGGCAACGTTGGTTTTCAACATGCATTTTCTAGATGTTAAATTACTTTACCCTATACTCCAAGCAATCGATGGCAAATACATCAAACAACTACACTTATGGCAACTGCAAGGAATATGAAACGTGATTAAAGAGTGTATTATGTTTTTACCACCAGTGGGTGATCCACATTATAATCCTTTGCTTTGTATGTCTTCACTAAGCCTGAAATTGGGTAAGACATTCCATGGCTAGAAAAAAAAAGAAGGCAAGTCCTTATGTTGACACATAGATATCAGGAATTCAGGTTAACGAAACAAAGATACTTTTGTGGAGAGCTCTTCATGGTCTGTTGACCATATAGTTATCTCACAAAGTTATACGTTCTGTTTTTATTGATACGACAATATATGATTATGCGTCGGACATTTCGTGTATTCATGAACAAAACCTCTGAAATGTTCGAATTCAAGTGCTCATAGAATTGTATGCCATTAAAAAGTGTTCATGCAGAGTTTGTTCCCCAAACACATTGATTAACTTGAAGATCTTAAAGAAATCAAGAATTTACTTTGAAGTTTCTTTAATAAGCTTCAGGACATGCGTTTTCCATTTTGCTCTGCGCTGGCGTGGCAGTGAGTTCCTGCCCAGGCTGATGATGTGGGTGGGAGCTTTAGGAGCCAAGATGTGCTGCATGAGACATTCAAGCTTGACCTGCCTCTCATCTGTCCCACCAACAATTGATATATCCTTTCAAATGTTACATACAAATAAAGTTGAATCATAAATTATTTCTGTAATTTGAAAGGTTATCAAGAAAAGGCACCATGGTTTTTATCTGTGGGTTTTTAAAATTTGTTTTAGTGAAAAAGAAACAAAACCCAAACCTCTTTATACCCTCTTGAATTCTTGGTGAACAAATAGCACAATAATATAGTTTAGCAGATGACCTGGAAGGTATATACTGTGAGAAGTTAATGTATTTGTAATTAAAATATTGAAAATGAAATGCTTTGCAATAGTAAAATGGTCTGTACATCTTTTTATGTGGGTTATTGGATGACTTTGGCCTTAATCACCAAGAGATTTATGTTTCACAGAAAGATGAAGTATTTTGGTGAACTGTGTGATTACTTACCTAAAAAAGGTAACTCTTGCCTATTATTCTTCATGAGACAGATCAGAAGCTACTGGTTCTCTGAATTGCTGGGCACTTAGGAACGTACTTTACTTTTCTCAGGCTGCACAGTATTTGGAAATGATTGTGTAGTGTGTTTTCCTGATGTTAAAGAGTTCATGTATCTTCCAAAAGTAACTTTCTAATGATACTGAGTATCTTACCTTGATTTATTTTAACAGTTGTATATATTCTTTGTAAAAATTATGCCAGCTCAGAGCCTGGAGCCTGTTTCAGTCTGTGACTCCCTCTCTCTCTGACCCTCTCCTGCTCATGCTGTCTCTCTCCTAGAAATAAGTAAAACATTAAAAAAAAAATTTAAAAAAAAAGAAAAAAAAATTAGAATGATCCATAATCCTATTTCTTCAAGATAACCATTATAAGTTATTTCTTCCGGTCTTTTTATGCATATCTGTAATTTATGATCATATGTGCATACAGTTTTAAACAGTGCTTTTGTTACCTAATATTCTTTTTAAAAATGATCACTTATTTATTTATTTGGGGTGGGAGAGACAGAAAGAGAGAGAGAGAGTTCCAAGCATGCTCTGTCAGGGAGGGCTCTATCTCATGAATCATGAGATGATGACTCAAGCCGAAATCAAGAATCAGACGCTTAACCCACTGAACCATGCAAGTGTCCCTGAATTGCACATTTTAAATGGGTGAATTTTATAGTGTATGAAATTGTAGTTCCATAAGGCTGTTACAAAAATAAATAAATAAATAAATAAATAAATAAATAAATAAATAAATAAAAATCTAGGGGGCTACCTGGCTGGCTCAATCAGTAGAGCATGTGACTCTTAATCTCAGGGTAATGAGTTTGAGCCTCACATTAGGGATAAAATTTACTTTAAAAAAGTTAAAAAAAATCTATGACTCAACAAATTACATTTGAATTAAGAAAACATTCCGGTACCTAAGTTAAATTTCTTCTTTCTATGGCATATTTAGACCTTACCACCTGTCCTAAATTATAAACATTTTAAAAATAAAAGCAGTAGCTTAGGTGAAGAAATAAAATCTCAGATTTGCTCACCACAGATGAACACCAGCATTTCCAAAGCCAATACCAGCAAAAGCACTTGCCAAGTGCATATTAGACCTTGCTTCAAGATCATCAGGATTTCTTTTTTTTTTTTTTTAAATGTTTTATTTATTTCTAGGAGAGAGAGAGACAGCGTGAGCAGGGGAGGGTCAGAGAGAGAGAGAGGAGTCACAGACTGAAACAGGCTCCAGGCTCTGAGCTGGCAGTCAGCCCAGAGCCCGACGCGGGGCTCGAACCCACGAACCGCGAGATCGTGACCTGAGCGAAAGTCGGACGCTTAACCGACTAAGCCACCCAGGCGCCCCAAGATCATCAGGATTTCTGACAGCCCTGTGGATGATATAAATACCTACAACAACATTGGCATTTCCCACAAAGAAAGAGCTGCCTTAGGGAAAGATCTGGGGAAAAAGATCCTACTCAGTAGGAAGAAAAATTAGGCAACTTATTCAAATGACATCTTGTCTTCTAAACGAAGACTGAAGGGAAACATATTTTCTCATCAATGGTTTTGGGCAAAGGCATAATAAATACGCTGTCAGGCTGCTCCTGTGATGAAAGTGCCAGGGGAAGCAAAGCACTGACCCCTGGACTGTGAGCTGCTCTAGGAAAGTGCCCTGAGACTCATTCTTCTTCTTCATTTGTCAATGACCTTGACGGCAGCTGTGAATGGACTTCAAGTAAACACATACTCAGAATGCACAGGCCAGACGCTTCTCTGAGTCCCTGTTGCCCGGGGCTACCTGCAGGCTAATCACAGCCTGTCCAGCCATCTTTTTTTTTTCTGTGACACTGCCCCAAATAGAACCCTCTGGAGGCCTCTTTCAGTATCTGTGGAAACTACACATGTTATTTTAATATTTATTATCATGGAAGTGGGATGTTATTATAGGACGAGGCTTTGCTGGCTCTAGATGTCCCCAGTGCCACTTTGGAAAAGCAAATTCTCAAAAGCCCCTTTGCAGATTTGCAGATGGAGCTCAACCTTCTTATACACACTTGCTTAGTGACCCTGCCCCAGGGAGGAAGCCCAAAGAGCCACCCCTTGCTTGCTTTTCCCGATTTTCCCAATTTTCCCCGGAGGAAGGGTTCCTGTTACGCGGAGTGCTACAGCCTATTCTCCTCTTTCATTTGGAACAGTTAGGCATTTGTGGCTCCTTTCCAAACCCAGGGTTAGAGCCTTCTTCCTTGTATAACGAGGTGAAATAGCAGGTGATGGGGCTTTAGCTTTTCCCCTGTGCTCTGCTGAGCCTGTCCCTGTCCCACACGCTGGCTGTCATTATCTGGATCTGCACCTACCCGGTGAAACGCTGCCATGCTCCCTGGGTCTCCTGCAATGGCTGTGTCCCTTCCCTCTGCTGTCCTACAAAATGCAGTCTGAGCTCTCTGTCTAGTGCAGCTTCCAGCCAGGGGCCAGAGGAAGCACCATGTTCACATCCAGGTCCAAACTGCTGTGTTCTTCCCTCCATTATGTATAAATACAAAAGTGAGTCTGATTTTGCACAGTTTCTAATGTCTCGGATCAGCTTTCATCTCTAAGTATATCTTTGCTTTCTTAGGAGCCAGTCATGGATACATCATTCATAAATCTTTTGAAATATTTTAGGAAGCTTTTTACATCTCCCGGGACAGACAACTCTACACATTTATTTTGAGTTTATATACACTCAGTTCATAGGAGTTTGCTTCATGGGTTGACTCGGCGTACCTCTGGACAGGGCCTGCTCGGCACAGCCAACACTGCCTCTCTGAGTCTCGTTACTGCTCTCGGTGTAGCCAGCTCTCAAGGCACACCTCCCTTCCCCCCAGCTTTGGTTTTGGGGCTTTGATGAATAATCCCTCCACATGCAGCCTTCATAAATCAGGGGCTCATATTTGGTCCCCTCGCCTTCGCCTTTTCAGACTGAAGGATCCGGGTTTCATCCGCCCTCATGTGCCTCCCTCCCTGCCCTTTGCTTTCTTCCAGAGCTTGCTGGTCTCTGGTGCTTCTTGATGTCCACTGAACTGATCTTTTGATGAACAGACTGGCTCAGGCTATTTCAGGACCTGGCATGCTACATTTTATGTGAGGGCGGAATGTGGCTCTTCTGTTCTGTTTTTCTCCCCTCCTTTTTTCCCCTAAGATTTTATTTTTAACTAATCTCTACACTCACTATGGGATTCAGACTTACAACCCTGAGATCAGAACTCACACGCTCTACTGACTGAGCCAACCAGGCACCCTTTCTTTTTGTTTCCATCTCCCCTGGGACACGTACCTCTTCAGATACTTAGCGACGATCCGTAATGCGTGGGCTGCCCAAATGTCACTGATTGGGTTGCTGCCCTGGTATGCTGGCCGGGCGATGGCATTTGAAGGGCAGGGGCTCCGCATGTGGTAAGGAAGGGCAGTGTAGGACTCCAGGGCATGGCTAACAGGAAATATGGAAAACACACAGATTGAAAGCATCTTCCTCATTTTCCCCTCCATTCAGGTTACAAACTCTCTTGGATATGTTCAATACTAGTTCCACTTAGATGTGCTATGCAGTAGTGATAATCACAATATATTCCACCAGACTCTGGTCTATACTAGTCATTGCTTATTACAGAAATTGGCACAGTGAAGTTTACATTAACAGCACTGTAGTGTTTTTTGACCAGTATGTATTACTGGATTACATATGGCTCCTTTCTAGTACAAATAAATCTTTATGATGTCAAATTTTTAAATATTTGAGTCATGAGGAAAAGCACTAAATCTAAAAAATGATTTTGTTTTAAAATAGATTTACCATTTTATCCCCTGTATTTGATCAAATACCATATTACTCAAGGAGGGTCATAGTTACACGAGCCTCCTATTAAGAGTACACTGCAGTGGTGAGAACACAGACCCCGGTCAGCTGGAAATCCTTCTCTCCACTTTCTTGGCAGGCAACATAATACAGTGAGAGAAGCAGACTGTGGACTTGGGTAGACCTGGGTCTGCCACCTCCTGCTTGTGTGAACTTTATTTGACAGATAGTAACTGATTACGTATGGTGTGACGGTCACTGTGCAAGGGGCAGGGACAGAGAAGTGAGTAAGATGGTCCTTTCTTCATCAAGCTCACAGTGCAGTGGGGGAGGTGGGCATGTGAAATGGAGGGTCTCAGAAAGGATGTTTAGGCCACCCAGTGGGGAGGAGCAAAGAATGGAGTGGTCAGTTGTACTTGAGGAAAGGAATGGGGAAGGTCAACACAGGCTTCATCAAGGGAAGGGTGCTGCAGTGGAACTGGGAGGTAAACTCTCCAAGCCGATAAACAGCTGAGCGTTGGGGACATTCCAGGCCCAAATGTGGCCTTCAGGCAGTAGAAGTGGAGAGCCACTAACAGACCTGTCGGGTGGAAGTGTGTGTGTATGTGTGTGCATGCATGTGTACATGTGATGGGTATATTGCATTGTGAAAAATTGCTGAGGCCAATATGGAGGCCGGACAGAGGACTAGAGAGTGGAAGCCTGGAAACTGATGAGGCAGGCAAGCAGCAACCGTGCAAGCAAGAGCTGGGCAGGTCTGAACCATGGCGGAAGAAGCAATGAGACTCAATGGGAGGGAGCAGACAGGGGCGAGATTCAGGTGGGATCAGTGTGGGAAATACCAGCAGTATGTGGGCACGAGAAGGAAGTTCATAGCAAGTCGTGCTGCTAAGTTAAGGGATTCGGGAGGAGAGGCTGTGAGGTGCGGGTGGGGGGTGGGGTTAGAGAGTTACCAGATTTCATCAAATTTAAGACGCCATAGATTATAAGATACACTACTTAAAGAAAGTATGTAAGAAAACCATACTGTCATGCCACGGATTTTAAGATGGGTTCTGAGTTTAGAGATGTTAGATCACCGAGTCCCCGTCCTGCATAGGCCCTGTGTTTTCATCTAGGAAACGGGACAATGAGAACCGAAGGGGGGGGGCTGTCGTGGGACATTAGCCAACGAATGCTTAGCAAGTGCATCCGGCAAGAAGGCGGTGTCCGTGTCGTCCGCAGACGCGGGAGCTGGGAGACCTCCAGACGGGCGCCCACCAAAGCACGTCGAGGCCGGGGCTGGCGACCACCCGGGCAGGCACGTGCAGGTGTGCGGACGACCAGCCAGTCCCAGCGTGGGTCTGAGGGCTCGGGAAGCAATACCTAAGACAGGGATTTTCAATAGAGGCTATAGGCATGGACACCATTTTTAAAAATTCGGGTAACAATTCTTAAAAAATTAAAAATATGAGATGAGATTCATTCTCCTGAAGAGAGGCAGCAAAAGCAGTGGAAAGAGATTTGGAGTCAGAAACCTGGGTTTTCCGGTGAATCTGAAGCTCCTTCTGGTTTGAAAGAGTCAAGGGTGTGCCTCTCTTCCCAGCTCTGGGTTGAATGATGTCACTGGCTATGGTGGGAATATTATACATCAAAGAAACTGGCCAGTACCAAAAATCGGTGTGTACTTGCTGATTAAATTCCAGAGAGCTGGTTTACTAGCACCCCACCACTGGTTTGGGTCATCATTCTGCAACTTACTATGTATCTTTGGACAAGTCATTTAGTCTGAATTCTCTGTTAGATTAGATCGTGACAATGTAGGGCTTCTATCCTTCATAGCTATTGCAAGGATCCCATTAGAAAATAGTATGTAAAAGCCTTAGAAAAACTGTAAGGTAGAAATTAAGTATTGGCTACTAGTATCTTTAATAATGTCAAAGGATAACGTAATTTAATTTTAAAAAGAGAAGGTACTGTAAACGTGCAGTCTACTATCAATTTATTCTGCTACAAAGGCCTGGGACCTCTGGACCTTATAGGCGTAATGGGAATATTTTGTTACTTTCATTGGGGTAGTGGTTACATGGGTGTATCTATTTGTCAAAATTGATCAAACTGACACTTAACATGTATGCATTTTATTATACAAAAATTGTATCTCAGTGAAAATGATTTAAAAGATAGAAAAGATGTCCAAGAAAGGGAATAATCATTTACCACTGACATGCAGTTACTGAAGCTGGGCCAAAAAGCGGCCACTCAAGATTATGGCATTTCAATATACTTTTGTAAGTAATTCTCAGAAGGAAGTATGTTAGACTGTTTCATATTTTATCTGTATTTGGAAAAAGAAAGAAGACGTGTAGGGGCGCCTGCGTGGCTCAGTTGGCTGAACGTCCTACTTCAGCTCAGGTCATGATCTCATGGTTCGTAGGTTCAAGCCCTGCAATGGGCTTCTGTTGTAAGCAGAGAGCCTACTTCAGATCCTCTGTCTCTCCTCTCTCTGTACCTTCTCTCCTCACACTCTCTTTCTCTCAAAATTAAAATAAAAAATAAAAAATAAAGAAAATAAATGCACATATATACACACATAACCCTTTCCTTAACTCTGTAACTCCTTGATTTTTAAATGTTAAGATTAAAGAAAAGGAGGTGGGGTTGAAAGGTAAGATGGAGAATTTAAAAAAAAAGTTTATGGGCAAATTTCTTACCAGTTTTTACTTTCAAGTGTTCATAGTCAAAGACGGCAACTCCTGTAGTTTCACTCCCAGTTCCTGAGGTGGTTGGGACTTGAACAAAATAATATTATTTTAAATAACGCATCTAAATAAAGGTCAGTGGAGATACTTAATTCAGCCTTGGGAAGCAAGGAGCCAAGTTAGAGAAGGAAGCTTTGCTGTCCCTGTTGCTCACCTGATGTGTGTGTCTGTATTAACAAGCATGCATGCTTTACATGTAGAAGGGTACCTGCATTAACGTGCGTGCAAATAGCATGCCTGTCAGCATTAACATGCATGTTTAATATGTGGATGTGATGGCAGTGTCCGCATTAATATGCACAGATTTAACATGCGTGGTGTCCGTGTCTGCATAACATGTAGGCATCACTAACGTGACTTGCCCTTTGATGAGTATGTGTGGTACTTGTATCTGTATTAACACACATGTATGAAATCAGTGCCTGTGCTGACACGTACGTATGCCCAACATGTACGTACGGCGTCCATTGTCTGTATTAACACGTGTGTATATTTAACCTGTGTGTGTGATATCTGTTTCTGTATAAACAGCGAGGAACTCTGGGAACTCGAGCAACTGAGCTGTAGCAGCTGCAGCCGGGTACTCAGACACAAGCTGCTCAGCACCTCCGGGTAGAAAACTCCTATTCGCTTTCTCTAAAAGACATCTTTATTCCCTCTTGGCAGCAAGCACAGTAATGCTCTGCCTTCGCTGGGCTCCGTGGTTTTGCAGTTCTGTCAAGTTTCTAAACTTGACTAATCACCCCTCTGTGTGATGCTGACACATTTTCACCAGAGGGTTCCATTTTCCAGACATCAATTATGTTGCTCCCTGCTGATTGCTCATTCATGTCAAAGCAGTTCATCTGCCTTCAACTTAACTCCTGTACCATCACAAGGCCCATTCACAGCGGGGGCAGACGGGGGGGGAGGGGGGGTGGTGTGAAGAGAAAGGACAGTGCTTTAGACAGATATTTTCCAGGTACCAGTTAGTGCATTTTAACCATAAAACTTTACACAGTAATATGCTAACAGCCATAAAACGGGAGAGAAGAAAAGACCAAGGTCTGTGTGGGGCAGACAAGCTATTCTGAGTTGGACTTGCTTGTCTGTCCCCAGGACGGCCACAGAGCAGATGTCGCCCAGAGTGACGCAGCCATGCTGGCCACATGTCCCAGGTCAGAGACAAAGCCCCAGGTCAGCTGAAGAGGCATTGTGTGGAAGAAAGGGTTGAGTCAACACCAGAAAAATAATAGCGAATGTTCCCCTTGAACTCCACAGCGGCTGGCACGATGGGACAAAGCAGAGGGGGGTTTCGAAGACACCCTTGCCAATAGAGGGATCTGATAATGTAGAAACGTTAACCTTCCCTCCTCCTCCGTACAGTGACTTCCTAGCATAAATCTGCCCACCCTCCTACACTGACCCAAACTGTCTCTATGTGCACAATACTGAAGATAAGAATTTTAAACGTAAATGGATTGATATCTGTCTGCTCTCCAAACAATGTACTACACTGAAGTGAAGAAATCAGAAAGTTCTGGAAACATACCCTAAAATTCCTGGCTTCTAGCTTTCCTAAGGCCTTTTGCCAACTGCAAAATAAAACAGACAAACAGACAAACAGACGATCTTTACCTGCAGTCAGAGGCTTCAGAGGCACAGATACAGGCTTTCCCATCCCAACGGGGGCATTGACATAATCTAGGAAATCAGACTGCGGGCTGGAGGCATACAGATTAGCAGCTTTACAGGTGTCCATGGTGGAGCAGCCCCCGACAGCAACGTAGGCATCAAAGGCTCCCTTTTTGGCAAACCCAATAGCTTCCATGAAGCTTGGAGAAGGGAAGATAAAAGCCACTATGTCCTATTTTGTCGGAAACAAACTGCCACGCCACTAAACAAGGTTTGGGGCAAACTTGAAGCAGCAACGGTGTGTCCTGGGTTCTACATAAAGTAAAGGACAACCATGAAATAATACCTTTTGTCAGTTGGTTCTACTCTCACGTTATCATACACCTTAAAATTTATGCCCTTCTTCACTAGGGAATCCATAACTGTCTGTACAGGAGGGAGCTGCGAGAGGTTCTTGTCTGTCATCAAGCAAACATTTTTAGCACTCGTGTTTTGTAGGTCCTACGATGATGAAAATAATTTGTGAGTTAGGCTGATTGCCCTGGAACTGTAACAGACGCTCTCTCTCCGGCAAACTCAACATTGCACGTTTTTCAACACAAAGGACACAATTGTTGGCAACCTGCTCTTGTTGTAAAAGACGCAGAACATGTATGGGAGAAGGCTAGGGTCCGTAAGCACTGGCCGTTCCCACTTCCTTTGTCACCCCTGTTCCGTATCTAATATTTGACACGGCCATCTGAAAAGAAAAAAAGAGGTAGGTATCGCATGCGTTAGAGAACTGGCCATTTCATTCTAAAACACTCTGAATGAAATGCATGGTTCCTTACTGTGTAGAGAATAAAGTCTATATTTCTTAGGATGGCCTTCATTATAACTTACGGCTGCTGAACCAGGAGGGGACAGGGATGTAAACAAGTAACCATGTAATTACAGTGCGATAACAATTCATCAGAATTCACTGCTCCTTTGTTTTTGCTTCCAAAGATTACTTGGTTCTCTTTTGGGATTGTTATAAAACTAAAGAAGATGTAACATACAACATATATAAGTTAGAGAGTTTGTAGAACTGGGAATTTGTCCTGTTAAAAAAATTTTTTTGGGGGGGCGCCTGGGTGGCTTAGTCGGTTAAGCGTCCGACTTTCGCTTAGGTCATGATCTCGCGGTTCGTGGGTTTGAGCCCCGCGTCGGGCTCTGTGCTGACTGCCAGCTCGGAGCCTGGAGCCTATTTCAGAGTCTGTGACTCCCTCTCTCTCTGACCCTCCCCTGTCTCTCTCTCTCTCTCCTGAAATAAATAAAAAAATATTAAAAAAAAACCTTTTTAATGTTTATTATTTATTTAGAAAGCATGAGCACGAGCAGGGGAGGGGCAGAGAAGAAGGAGGTAAGAATCCCAAGCAGGCACCGTGCTATCAGCACAGAGCCTCACAAACTGAGAGATCATGACCTGAGCGGAAATTAGGAACCAGATGCTTAACTGATTGAGCCACCCAGGCGCCCTGGGAATTTGTCCTATTTTGATGGCTGAACAAAAGACAGTATTCTAGACATTACTCATGTTATCAGAAGATTTGTATTCCATTACCCCAACAAAGTAGTTTGCTAAATAGGGTCTGATCAAGTAATGGGATTAGGGAACATCAATTAATAGCAATGAGATAATAACACATTAACAAAATACTGCAGTACTTTTTTCAAGTCATTCCTAAAAGAAAAAATGGACTGATTATATTTACCTCAAAGGCATAATCTGTTGTTTTCCCAGAAGGTGCAAGTCCAGGAGCTAGAAATGTAGAAAACAGCATCAGTGTAGGCCTCAGAAACAAAGCAAAAATGTTGTTATTTGATAGTAAATTGGTATTTCAGCAGTGAACACAAGCATCTCCCTTAAGAAGCCTTACCTAGAGCACATTTTCAGGTTTCACATAAAATTGAAATTAAAACCTGCATTTTAAGAGACCGTAATGCTAACTTGATGCTGATTGTGTGAAAATAGTTATTTAAAATATTTTCTTCACCGAAGGTAAAATATTCTTTGAAACAACGTATAAAAACCCTCTAGAAAAGAAAAACTCTCTAGACGCTAGAGTTGGGTGGCTGTTAGAGAACAACTATTAGTAAATTCATTAATAATTAGAGTCTCGCTTATGCTTCTTATAACAGCCGTGACCACTTGTTCGAATTAAATTTTTTTCCATGGAAAAAGTGATCACCCCTGCAAGATATTTACATTTTTTCAAGTTAAGGCATGTAAAACTTTTAGTTTTCTTTGTGAAACTTCATAATTTTTTATAAACTGATAGATATTTCTTTATAATCTATCAGGTTTGGGTTATGGCAGAAATGATTTCCTGTTGCATTAGAACACGAAGGCTCCACTTAATGAGTTTTACTCTTGTTTTAATCCACTTATTTTTGTCACTCCTGGGTAGGCATAAGATTGAAAAGCAAATCTGCACAACAATTTCACTACTTTTTTTTTTTTAAGGAAAAGCGACCACAACTAGACAGCAATCTACCTTTGGCTTCTTGAGAACAAGGGTATCCTTAATTAAAATTCAAGTTTCTTAGATCCTCATCAACTTTAAAGAAATAACCTATTACTCTTGCTACTGAAGTTTAGAAAAAGACCTAAATCGAATCCTAGAAAACAGTGAGGTTATCTTTCTTTAAATGATTAATTTTACTCCCCCAAATAGGAAACTATTAATTCCTTATTGAAATCGACTAAGAATTGGAAAGCACCAGCTTGAAGACAAAATTCTGCGCATGTCCACGAGGACCTAAAAGGCTGGGCACGCTTCCCCTAGTCCACGGTCCTTGTCGAGGTCCCTGTGGGCAACGCCGGTGTCAGAAAAAAGCCCTCAGTTAGTGGGTCTACCTGCCCTGCTCCCCAACAGCCTTCTCGGCGGGCTCTGCTTAGCGCCCTGTGAGGGCAGGCCCTCTCCTTTCCATTCTCAGGGCGCCCTTTCGATTTGACCTTTCCTTCCACGAGGTGAAATTAGTTTTTGGGTCAGTAATTCACGTGCTGCCGTTCTGAGGATCCCTGAGGCTACAGTGAGCTTCCTGCTGTTCCGTGGACAATGGAGTTGGTAAGGATTAAGCCGTTTGTGGGAACTGAAACTTCAGTCATTATTTTTAATTATTAAGAAATAGAATGTTAGTTTTACCCAAATGATGGAAACAAGTGTTTTCCTTCTAGGAACTGCTTTGTTCTGTAGCCTCTTTCTTTTTTGAGATAAATTCAAACCTTCCAAAGATTTCATCTTAATTCTGTTTGATTGACTCAGACAATATTAAAATCTTATCTTGAAGAAAAGCTTTTCTCTTATACAAATCTTATTGGTAGCTTTGGCGAAGAACTCTATTTGGAATAGAAAAAACAGCATAAATAGTATTAAATATATCCTTAAGCCAAACATATAATTGGTAGCATGCATTCAGCTACCATCATATAATTAGAACTACATAAGACCACTGCACGTGAAAAGGCAGCCATTTCAACTTTCTTCTCATGTCCCTTGATTTTCTTGATTTATCCTCTGCCCAAACGTAATATGAGTGTCAAAGGGTGGGGGTTGGGGGGAATTGGAAATGTTGGCCAGTTTGAAAACACAAAATATATGATTACCTTGGGAGTAAGTATGAGAATGAGTAGGGCACTGGCATCTAGGGAAAAGAAAAAAAAGTGAAAGTAGAAAACCAAGAGAAGAAGCTTTAATGTAACCCCACTACATTCTAGTCTTTAAAGAAATTTTTTTAAACATTTATGTATTTTTGAGAGACAGCGAGACAGAGCACGAGTGGGGGAGGGGCAGAGAGAGAGGGAGACAGGAACCGGAAGTAGGCTCCAGAGCCACACGGGGCTTGAACTCGCAGACCACGAGTTCACGACGTGAGCCGAAGTCAGGCGCTTAGCCGACCGAGCCTCCCAGGTGCTCCTACATTCTAGTCTTAAGATGCTGCCAAAACACTGGCTGTGGGCAAACACTACGTAGCAAAACCCAGAAATCATCGTGGACAAAAAAGCTGACCCAGGGTTTTTCCATTGTTGCCGGATTGTTCTTTCAAGGGTTCGAAGTGTTACTTAATAAATGTGTGCGGGGAGCTGAGCTAAGCCCTCCGGAGATACGAGTCAGTTTGAGACGGGGTCTCAGCGCTCTGTGAGTCCCAGCTCTTTTACTAGGTTAGGGGCTTTGATCAAATTGACTACTCCGGTCAGTTGAGTGGGGTAACTACTCCCTGTGCCTCCCCTCCCGTCCCCCTGCCCCTGGGAACTTGAACTTGTATTTCCCCATTGGCTTCAGTGCGTTTAACTTTCTCGCAGCTGGCTCTGGGCCGCTCCTGGGAGAGGCCCTCACTTGCCTGCAGGCCGGCCGGTCACCACCCCAGGCCTCCACCCGGTCCCGCGGCTCCAGGTGCCCCGTGTGTCGCCCCCTCCCTGGCGCCTCAAGTGGGCTCGGGCCCGTCACTCTCTCCTCCCCAAGCCCTGAGCTGGTCCCAGGTCCCAGCCCGCTTTGCCCCCTCGGCTCCAAGTCCCTGCCCGGTCCTGGTCGCCGCCTGTCTCCGGGACAGCCCCCGTCCCTCCTGTTCGCTATGCTTTCTCCTGCGGGGGGGGCTTGTCAGAGTGGGGTCCCGACGGGTACGTGAGCGCCTAGCCCGCCCCCAACGGCCTCCTCCCCCTGAAAACCTGGGGTGAAGACCTCTGAGGGGGCAGGTGGGGAAGGAGGGAAAAGCGCCGACCGGCGACCCAGGCCTCACGGCCGCACCGAGCGGCGAGAGCGCCGCCGCGGGCAAGCCCGCCACCTCCCGGGCAAGGCTGAGAACGGCCGCCGCGGGCGCGTCGCGGGGGTGAGCGCCTCCGGCCGCGGGAGGCGCAGCGGGCGAGGCCAAGGCCTTGTCCTCCAAGGGTGGCTTCACCCTCTCCGAGGGCAGGGAAGAAAATACGCAAGCTCACAACTTGCCAGAGCGCGGGACCGTGGGAGCACGTGCCTTGCACCCGTCCCCACCTCCTACTTCCCGTTTCTAAGGCTCCGGCGCTACCTCGGTGGGTCCTTCCTACCTCTTTCCTCCCCGCTTCCCTTCTTGGGAGGGCCATCTGTTTATTTTTTTTTTATGTTTTATTTATTTCTAGGAGAGAGAGAGAGACAGCGTGAGCAGGGGAGGGTCAGAGAGAGAGGGAGTCACAGACTGAAGCAGGCTCCAGGCTCCGAGCCGGCAGTCAGCACAGAGCCCGACGCGGGGCTCGAACCCACGAACCGCGAGATCATGACCTGAGCGAAAGTCGGACGCTCAACCGACTGAGCCACCCAGGCGCCCCTGTTTATTTTTTTTACAAATAGTTTATTGTCAAGTTGGTTTCCACATAACACCCAGTGCTCATCCCCCAAGTGCCCCCCTCCGTGCCCCTCCCCCTCCCCACACCCCCATCCGCCCTCAGTTTGTACTCGGCATTCAGGGTCTCTCGTGGTTTGCCCCCCCCTCCCCCCCCCCGTTTAGTATCTCCTGGCCGCCTTGTCACGGTGCTTGGGCGTTCCATGCTCAAAGGCCTCAACCGGCCTGTCCCCGCCGGCTCGCTCACCCCGGGCGCTCCCGGCGCGTCCCACACACCGCTTGGCGCCCGAGGCGCGGCTGCCGTTTGAACAAGCCCCAGCCTTCCGGCTGTGCCGTCGCCTAGACCCCGGCACCTCGCTCCCCGCGGCGCGCACCGGGGCCGTGCTCTCTCTCCGACGGCGGGAAACGCTCGGTGGCGTCGGGACCCCCTGCTCACCCCGGCTTCCGCTAATTAGTCTTTCCGCAGCCCTGTTCCACCCTGCCCGTCCCTTAGCTGCTGGGCTCCGCCCTCCCCTCCATAGCAAAGCGCACACCGAGGCCTCACCTTTCTCTCCCCAAGCCCACCCGCCTCCCCTGGGCCGTCTGCCCGCGTCCGGTTTCGGCGTCGCCTCTCACCACGGGGCCCCCAGCAGGCTTCTCCTGGCTGCGCCTCTGCCACGCCGCGGGCAGGGGCTCATCTCCAGGGACGTCACTCCCGCGTCTAAACGGACTTTGATGCCCCCCCGCCCCCCCGTTTTCAGACCTGGCCCCCCGGCCGTGCTCACCGGCCCAGCTAATCTCTCTCGCCGGGCTTCCCATCTCGCTCCAGCCCTGGCGCCCCCGGAAAACGTGTTGGTTTCCGCGAATGGGCCACACATTCTCTTTCTTGCCTCCAGAACTGAACTCCGTCCGTGCTGTTTCCTCTGCCTGGAACCCATCTCCCTCTCTCCTTCTGGGTACTCAGTGTCCTTTCTAGCGTCAGTCACATGTCACCTCCCCTGGGCAGTCTTCCCGGGGCCGGGGGTCCCAGGTGGGACTCTCTCTCTGAGGCCTGCACGCCCGCCCCCCTCCCCGGAAGGACCGTGACCACGTCGCACTGCTGGCATCATTCTCCCGTTGCCATCTGTGTCTCTGTTGTCAATTTTGTGGTTGCAGGAGAAGGTCTCCCCTCGATCGCAACTTCATCTGCAGCGACTGTCGCTGGACCAGGCACAGAGTAATACTCACCCAAGAAACACTGACTGAAGGCACGAGGAGGTGAGGAAATAAAGAAATGCAGGCATTTAAAATCCTCTGAGCTTCTCTCTTTTCCTGCGAGTTCCCTCACCTTCTCAGGATAGTCTGACCGCTGGGCTTCTCTCCCGCCCTGAGAGGCGGAGGAAATCACAGTTACAGTTAGAGCAAGGCTCCCAGCACCCCCCCCTCCCCCCGGCTCTGGCCCAATTACCCTGGCCTTCGTCCTTGGATCACTGGCCACGGCAAACTGGCTGAGCTTTCAGCAAAGGTCAGCCCCTCTCCTGGGGACTCTCGGCCGCCCTCACTTACTCAAGGACATCACTGCGTCATCCCTCTCCTGCGTCATCCCAGCTTTCCTCCCAATAGACCTCATCCACCAGCATAAAATATTATCTTCCCTTTTTATATTAACAACAACGCTCTCTTGTCCCTCTGGCCTCCCTGATGCTGCCCAGTCTCCCTCCTCGTTGGCTGACTATACACGCTCCCTCCAACTGCTCTCCTCCCCTCCTCCCTGGGGCCTCCTCCACTGGACTCCACTGTCAGAACGGGCCAGGTCACCAATGCGCTCCACCTCAGTCCGGTCCTCCTCGCACCCAGCCTGTCCGTGGCACTTTCCTGGGGGTCTCCTCTCCCAGGCAGTGCTTTCTTCTCCTGGGTCCCAGGCCGCTTCTGCCCCAGTTTCTTTTCACGCTGTCAGCTCTGAATGCGCGTGTCTTTCCACACTCGCTCCCCGAGTGACCTCACCTCGTCTCCTGGTCTCGGCTGCCTCCCATACTGGCGGTTTCCGCGTCTGTCTCCTTTGGACATGTTGCTGGAACTCCAGATTCAGCTGCCTGCTGCACACCTCCACCTGGAAGTCTGTTAGGCATTTCACATTTTCCCTGCCTGAGACTCCGCCCCTGCCTCTTCCCCACCGGAGTTTAATGGCAACCTCATCCTTCCGAATGGCCAGGCCAAAAAACCTTGGGCACATTCTTGGCTTTCCCCATCTGGCCCCCAACAACTCTGACCTCCCCTCCCCCTCACTCCACTCCAGTCACCATGTTCTGAAACCATGCCAGGTATTCCCCACCTCCAGGTCCCTTCCCAGAGAGCCACATGGCTCCTTCCGTCCCCTGATCTTTCCGTAACAGGTTCTCAGTGAGTGTGGTTGGCTGAGACCCTGAAGATATTTATGTCTTAATCCCTGGAATGTGTGAACTTTATAATGCCAAAGGGACTCCACAGATGTGATTATATTAAGGATTTGGAGATGGAAAGATTATCCTGGATTATCTGGGTGGGCCCGAAATGTAATCAGAAGTGTCCTCCTAAGAGGGAGGCACAGGGAGATTTGACATGAAGGCAGTGTGACCACTGAAGCAAGTTGCTGCACTGCTGGCCGTGAAGATGGAGGAAGGAGCTACGATCTAAGGTTGCAAGAAGTTCAGCTGCAGAAGCCGGAAGGAGCAAGATGATGGATTCTCCTCTGGAGCCGCGGAAGGGACTGTAGCCCTCTTCACCTTGATTTTGTCCCAGTAAAACTGATTCTGGACTTAAGAACTGTAAGAGCACAAATGTGTGTTGTTTTAACCAACCAAGTTCATGGTAATTTGTTACAGGAGCACTAAGAAACTATACAGTGAGGTCTTCTCTGACCATCTTCTCTGAAATCGCATCCCTTCGTCCAACCCATCCTCCCTTCCTTTCTCTGTAAGTTACATGTAATATACTGTAAACTTCACTAGTTTATAGTTCACTCCACCTGCCCCGCCTCCACACTTAAACACCAGGGATATTAGGCTGTTTTGTTTCCTACTGTACCCCAGGGATGAGAACACCACCGATCAGCGGTGGATGTGCAGTCCTCTCCAGGGCTTTCTCCTATATGTCTGGCTACGTTCCTATCCTCTAACGCTGGCTCCTTTTCCTCCATTCAAAGTGCAAATCATTTGCAAATCCAAGTGCCTAAGGAGGCTGGCAGATAATGTAGATGAGGCCAGAGCTGCGGGCTGGCTGTGCAGCTGGCGTGCCAGGGAAGTGGTGGGCTGCGTGCCAGGGTCTCTCAGGAAGCGGGAGTGCTTGCCCGGTTCAAAGGAGGTGGCCACCACTTCACCCCAGCCTTGGCAGACTTTCCCCAGGTGAAATGTGGGCCCAAAGATGCCATTTCCCAATTTTCCTAAATTCTTATCTGAAATCTCCCACATTGTAAATGCTTACTGTATTAAAAAAAATAAGCCCCATTTTGGTACTCGTGCCGGAACGGTGAGGCTCCCCAGGACCTCATTCTCAACCCGCCTAGGTTTACTGTTTTCCAAGGCCTCTGCTTCCACATCCATGATCTAAACAGTCCTCTGTACACATGGGTGAGCGCCTACGCGCCCCTCGCCTCTGTAACAATACAGTCAATTGCCTGCTGGAGGGCTTCTTCATCCCTTCTTCCTGAGGGATGTCCAGTCTGAAGTCCCTGAGGCAAGTTCTCATCTCCCTCCTAACGCTCACCCTCCTTACTTCCCATCCCGGTCAATGGCCCTAATGTTCACCTGTACCCCAGCCAGAAACTTCACTTTCTCCTTCCATCTCACTAATCAGATACAAACTCCTGCTGATTTGAACTGACTCCTCAATATTTTTCTTATCTACCCCTTGTACCAGCTGCCTCCCCCTGGTACCTGAGGCTATCACCTTCTAGCTGGAGCATGACAGTTACTTCTAGTCTTTCCTCTCTGCTGTGCATTGTCACCAGAAAGCTCGAACATAATTCTAGTCATGCCATGCGGCTTTGTCCAAGCATGTGTTCTACATGACACTGCTTCCAAAGAATATACATGGTGTTGCTTGATAAAAAGAGTTTTATAACACAGATTTAGAACAAAGTGTAAATACAGCTCAACTTTTTTTTTTTGCTTTATACCCTGTAGGACTTCTCAGAGCCTTTCATGTGCTAATTATCCTGACTTTCCAAAAGCGTTATGCAGCAAAGAACAGTTTCCCAATTATTTGGCCACGGAATTTTTTTCTTCCCATGGGACATCTCAAAGTATTCGTGTTTCACAGTGAGAACTAGTGCTTCCACAGCTTTCGGTATCTACAGGACACGGTCCAAACTCTTTAGCAGAGTACTGAGAACAGGGCCTGTGAAACTAGAATATCTGGGCTCAAATGATGGCTGTGCCATTTAGCTGTGTGAAACTGGACAAATTCTTTTTCTTCATGCTTTTATTTAAAAAAACTTTTTAAATGTTTTATTTATTTCTGAGAGAGAGAGAGACAGCATGAGCAGGGGAGGGTCAGAGAGAGAGGGAGACACAGAATCTGAAACAGGCTCCAGGCTCCGAGCTGTCAGCACAGAGCCCGACGCGGGACTTGAACCCAAAAACCGTGAGATCATGACCTGAGCCGAAGTCGGGCGCCCAACCGACTGAGCCACCCAGGCGCCCCCATGCTTTTATTTTTTTAATATGTAACATGGGGATAATAATACGGTCTGGCATAGGGTTGCTGTAAGGATCACAGCTCCTATTGATAGCACACGTAAAGCATGTAGGGAAGTGCCTGGTAAAGGCTGTGTTCTTATTCAGGATCTGTCTTCTGCATCCTCACCTCCTTCTATGAAGGTACGTCCAGATTTTAACTACTTTTTGCTCCTGAACTACGTCTCTTGCCAAAGGGGCTGCTCCTCCCACGTTGCTTGCCGTTCGTCCCTGGCCCCTCCCTTCCCCTTCCCTCTATCCACTAGCTCGAAATGTCACGTGTTCCCAGGCTCCCGCGTGCATTTGCACGCCCCACACGCATTTACCAGGTGGCCGGCATTTCCGGAGGGGGTCAGGCACGTCGTCACTTCTAATACCTGACGCCCGGTGCATGCCAGGGAGTGAAGCCCCTGGGGACCCCGCGCAACCCTTTCCATTCTACTCTCTGTCCCCAGACTTCCCCAAAGGCCGTTTCACAAACCCCGCTCCTTCATCCAGTTGCCCGTTAGACTTTAAACTGCTCCAGAGTCTTTCACCTTTGAGCCCCCAGCGCCCGGAGTCGTTTTCGGCGCAGAGCATCTCCCCAGTACGCCTGTGTAGGTTGGACACCTGAACGTGTCCACTGTGCCAGGCCTCCAGTGTCTGCCACGACGCGGGGGCACCGACCTCTCCGGGCCTCAGTGTCCTCAACGGCAGGCCGAGCAGGGCACGGCCTGCCCACCGCGCCGGGCGCACCGCGACGACGCCGTCCCCCCCCCGGGCTCCTGGGAGTAACCGGGCAGGACCACGTGGGGCCCAGGGGGCCGCACCCAGAGGGACGGCGTGGGCACGCGGGCACCCCCCGGCCGCCCGACCCCCCGCACTCACGCTGCTCGCTGCCGAGCACGAGCGGCTGCGGCCATGGCCTGGGGTGGTCTTCTCGGCAGTCAGCCCCTCCTCCTGCGCCCCGCCCCCTCCGCCGGCCAGTCCCGGTGCCGCCCTCCTGCGCCCCGCCCCCTCCGCCGGCCAGTCCCGGTGCCGCCCTCCTGCGCCCCGCCCCCTCCGCCAGCCAATCCCGGCGCCCCTCCTCCTGCCCCCGCCCACTGGGCCGAGCGTGCGGGTCACACATCAGCCCTCTTTGGATCAGGGCCATTTTCCCACGGGTCAAATCTCCGCTGCCTCAGCTGCAGTCTCACCATCCACCTCTGAAACTGCGGTAAAGGGAACTTCTCTGTAGGATGTTGGGTACTTCCTTAAGTCTCTCTACTTAAAACCCTTTACTTCACTAAAGAAAAATAATAATAATAAAAAACCCAAAAAAACCCCTTTACTTCACATGTGGATATAGGGAAAGGGAGCGAAACAAGGGCATTCTTTTGCTACTGATTCCTTTAAAGTGTTACTTTGCCTTCCTATTTTCCTAATAAATTATTAAGACATTGTGTTTAAATTGTTTTAGTAAATAAGGACCTTGCAAAAACCCCAAGGGTTATCAGGGCTAGTGCTGTGTCCAACTGCTAGATCAAGTCTAAAAAAACCCAAAAAGGCAGAAAAATCCCCAAACAAAACAGTAACAATGCATCCTAGACGGTTGGAAATTAAAAGGTGTTAACTGCTCTATGAATAGCTTTTGATGAAGTTAAGGTACCATTAAATGGTTTCATCAGTAGTTACAAACTTTCCATGATTTCACTGTACTCTATGGCTTAGCAGGCCCAGCGCTTCAGGTCCCAGGGGGAGAGCTGATCGATGATGGCCAAGTAACCCAAGACAGTAACAAGTGGACATCTGTGTTTTTAGTAATGTATTATGAAATTTGAATCTCTTTTTCCATAACAATTTCTAAAGGCAACTTATAAAAATGAGACAATACTGAAAAAAAAAAAAAGACAAAATGTGAACTCCCAGCTTTAATTTCCTATCAATTATCAGACCAGAACAGAGTAAGAGTGGCTCATGGGGCTGTACAGCAGCACAAAGGCCCTTCTGGAATCTAGACTTGTTATGAATCCTTTAAAGAAGATACTTATTTTCACAAAGACAAGTTACTGAGCTTAGGGAGAGACGCCTAACAGCTTATCAACATTTAACCTCCTACTCAAACCCGTTCAGGTCAGCTTGACAAATGAATCAAATACAACAGTGTTCGAGTTACAGATCTGGTTTCTTTAGCTCTTCTCAAAACAGACCCCACTGAAGTTAAAACAAAATTGGGGACATAAATGTTGAAGAGGATTTAAGTATTTTCTGGATTAATGAGGATTATCACTATTATTTAGTGAAGCCCAAATTTGTAACTTACAGCAATGTTTTCACAGTATAAAAAAAATAACTTTTTCAAAGAGACATCAGTTTTACTACACTTTCAGTATTATACCTGATACCAAAAGAAGTTATGAGTTTCCTTAAGAAGCCTCACTGAAATCATCATAAATTAACTGCTTTATGTTTTTTAGAAAGTAAATGAAAAGAATCTGAACCACGTATCCCCTGGTTTTACTTAGGATTTCTACCAACAGCCAAAAATCAAAAGCAACATTAGATACAGACACTTTGTATTAAATAACTTTCATAACAGTTACTTGTAAGTCCAGTTTTGAAAATGTAATTTCTGACACCTCCCCCCCCCGCTTTGGTACATTTGTCATAAAAATAATGCAGACATTATAAGTCTGCAGTATGACCAACTCTCCCTCTTACCATATTCAAAGCTAAAAAGAAAAAAGACGTGTTTTAAAAAATAGAACTCATTCCCACTTTCCACCAAATCCTTTCCCTGATTCTTATGTCCTTAAACACATCCTTTAACCTACGGCCAAATTCTCGGTTGTGGGAAAAACACTAATTTGGAAGGTCCAACATTTACATATGTCTCGGGGGGAGGGCAGCCTGTTACTTCAATCTCAGGCTCAATGAAGGCAGCAGAAGCCGCTTTGACCCCCCCACCCCCCACCCCCCACCCCCCGAAGGCAACATTTAGTACAGTTCTCTGTCTACAAGCGGGTCGGGGTGAAATTACTTCCTTCTCTTTCCTCCTCGGTGGGGTCCTCCTCTCTTCTTGCCGCCCAGGCGAGGCGGCCCGGAATTCGCCTTGCCTCCCAAGCCCCCTTTCCTCTTCCCTCCCTGGCCGGGAGGGGCCCCCTTCCGCGGGCCGCCCGCACCCTTCGGGGCCCCCTTCCTCCTCTGGGCCGCCGCCTCCTGGTCCTCCTCCCTCATCTGCTTGTTGGTGGCTCTCGTCACGTCCAGCCGCGGCTTTCCGCTGTTCATCACACGCAGCAGCTCCAACTGGCTCTTCTTCTCGGCTGCGAAGTCCCCGAAGAGGGGCCGAAACTTCCTCCTGCTGCCGGAGCCTCGGGGCGCCTTCTCCTTGGGTAAGCGCGCCTGGAAGCGGCCGGCGGAGGCGGTGGAGAGCCGGGCCACGTGCGCGGCGCGGGCCAGCTCCTCCCGGCCCTGGTGGCCCGCGGGGCGCAGGCCGGCCGCGCTGGGCAGCTGCGCCTTGTGCGCGCGCGCCAGGTTGCGCAGCCGGTTCAGCTCGTTCCGGGCCACCCGCTCCCTCTTGGCCTGGACGCGCTTGGCGAACTGGTCCTCCAAGGGGTCGGCGCCGCCGGGCACCTCGATCAGCCATTCCTTGGTGTCGTCGCGGGCGCGCCGGTAGCCCCAGCGGCGTCGCCACTGGCCGCTCGCCTCGTCCCACACCAGACTGGGCTTCTTCCTGGGGCGGATGCCCTTGAGGCGCGCGAACTGCTGCCAGCGCGTCGGCGGCCGCGGCCGGGGCGCCGGCTTCTCGCGCGGCAGGCGGGTGCGGGGCTCGGGCAGCCGCGCCACCAGCGCCTCCTGCACGCGCTCCGTGGGCAGCTGCCACAGCTGGTTGACCAGCAGCTGCGTGTTGTCGCGCGCCAGGGCCTGCAGCTCGGCCTCGGGCGCCGGCCCCGCGCGCCGCAGCCGCGCCGGCGGGTTCCGGTCCGAGGCCAGCAGGTTCCCCAGGTCGAACTCCAGCTCCAGCTCCTTGTGCACCGCGATGCGCTGCAGCTTCTCCGCCTCGGCCCGCTCGGCCCGCGCGAGCAGCGCCTCCACGCTCCCGCCCTCCATGGCTCCGCGGGGCTCCCCGCTCCGGGCGCGCGCTCGCAACCTCCGCTCCGCCAGCGCCGGCGGGAGCCCGGGCGACGCGGCCGCGTGCGGCCGCCGGGACGCTCGCTCCGGAAGGGAAGGGTTCGCTTCCGGAGCACCCGGCAGCGGCTTCCGGTCCTGGCGAGCCGAGAGCGGCCGGCAGAGGGCGGTGTTGGCGAGGAGATGGGGTGGCCGGGCCCGCGCGGACTGCGGCTCCCAGGGTGCCACGGCGCGAGGGGGCGGTGCAGGTTTGGGGGTCACCGTTTGAGGGGGTCCCGCAGCCACTGATAACGGTTTCAGTGTTCATCAGTCCTCAGGATGGGCCGAGAGACCCTTCCCACAGGGCGCAGCGCCGACCGGGAGCCCGGAGCGCGGGCCGGGCCTGACTGCTGCGGCATCTCCGGGCATTTGGGCCTATTTATTTATTTATTTATTTATTTTTATTTATTTATTTATTTTACAAATAGTTTATGGTCAAATTAATTTCCACATAACACTCAGTGCTCATCCCCGCAAGTGCCCTCGTCCATGCCCATCCCCCCTCCCCCCCACATCCATCAGTCCTCAGTTTTTGTCAGCATTCAAGAGTCTCTCATGGTTTGCCTCTCTCCCTTTCCCCCACCATTTCCGCCCTTCTTCTCCCCCTTGTTCCTCCGTCAAGTTCCTCCTAATCCTCCTATACGTGCAAACATATGATATTTGTCCTTCTCTGCCTGACTTATTTCGCTCAGCATAACACCCTCAAGGTCCATCCATGTTGCTACACATGGCCAGATTTCATTGTTTCTCATTGCCATGTAGTATTCCATGGTATAGATAAACCACATCTTCTTGATCCATTCATCTGTTGATGGACACTTAGGCTCTTTCCATGTTTTAGCTATTGTGGAGAGTGCTGCTATGAACATTGGGGTACATGTGCTCCTATGCCTCAGCATTTCTGTATCCCTTGGGTAAATTCCTAGCAGTGCTATTGCTGGGTCATAAGGGAGTTCTATTGTTAGTTTCCTGAGGAACCTCCACACTGTTTTCCAGAGGGGCTGTACCAGTTTACATTCCCACCAACAGTGTAGGAGGGTGCCCGTTTCTCCACATCCTCGCCAGCATCTAGAGTTCTCTGATTTGCTCATTTTAGCCACTCTGACTGGCGTGAGGTGGTATCTCAGTGTGGTTTTGATTTGTATTTCCCTGATGAGGAGGGATGCTGAGCATCGTTTCATGTGTCTGTTGGCCATCTGGGTGTCCTCTTTGGAGAAGTGTCTGTTCATATCTTCTGCCCATTTCTTCACTGGGTTGTTTGTTTTTCGGGTGTGGAGTTTGGTGAGTTCCTTACAGATTCTGGATACTAGCCCTTTATCTGATATGTCATTTGCAACTATCTTTTCCCATTCCGTTGGTTGCCTATTAGTTTTGGGGGTTGTTTCCTTTGCCGTGCACATTTGGGCCTATTTAAAAACTCGTAAGATGGGGCGTGAATAGCACCCACCTCTTAGGGCTTTTATAATGTTAAATGAATTAATATGCTTCCAAGGCAGCTTGGAAGAAATGTTAGCTGAATACCAATTATTAATCTGTGTAATGAGTCTAGGAGTTAAACTAAAGAGGCGGTCTTAATACAGAGATTGTACACCAGGTTCTTGAATCAAACTTCCTAAAATCAGATCTAGATTTACAGTACCTACTCTGGACAGGTTGTTTCACCTAAGTCCTGTTAAATTCATAAATTGATAAGTATGAAACATCAATTCTCGGTACATAGGAAGCACTCAGTAAGTGTTAGCAGTTGTTTAATTACCAAATTCCACTGATGGCAAAGAAAGGCTCAGCGTTTAAAATGAGTCTGAGGTTATACAACAGGAAATGTGGGAGCAAGAGGGATCTTGACTCTAACTTTAAGATAACATAACATATTTTCTGCAATGTCTTTCAAGCCCTTGATACACAAAAAGTGTGGTCTGTTGGCCAGCAGCATAGCATCACCAGGAAGTTGTTAGAATCGCAGCCTCTGGCTTTAACTGAGATGTAATGATTCAGAACCTTCTTTTTAACGAGATCTCTGGGTGATGAGTATGTACATCAAGTTTGGAAGGCATACTGCTGATTATGCAGTTTATAGGCTTTGTTTTTTTTTGTAATCTTTTAATGTTTATTTTTGAGAGAGAGAGAGAGAGACAGAATGTGAGCAGGAGAGGGTCAGAGAGAGAGAGAGACACAGAATCTGAAACAGACTCCAGGCTCTGAGCTGTCAGCACAGAGCCCGACACGGGGCTCGAACCCACAAACAATGAGATCATGACCCGAGTCACAGTTGGATGCTTAACCGACTGAGCCACCGAAGTACCCCTTTTTTATTTTATTTTATTTTATTTTATTTTATTTTATTTTATTTTATTTTATTTTATTTTATTTTAATATATATATTTTTAAAAGTAATATCTACTGCCATATATGTGCCTCGAACTTAAAACCCTGAGATCAAGAGTCACATGCACTAACAACTGAGCCATCCAGGTGCCCTTGTTTTTTTTTTTAAGTTAGGAGTATTGAAGAGGGGGTTATGCTGGAAAATTAACCCATAGACGTCATAGCCCTTAGGAAATAGAGTCAGTTGAGTTTCACCTAGAGAGGACATTAGACACAGCCCCATCCGCCTGAGTTTGGTTTCTGGAGCTCACTGTCTTTCCTCAGCTTCCCTTTGTTCATTTACTCATCAAACATTAGTGAGCACATTTTATTCATCAGAGAGTGTGCTACTATCTTCATCTTTTTTTTCTTCTTTTTTAAGTTGGCTTCAAGCCCAGTGTGTAGCCCAGTGTGGGGCTTGAACTCATGACCCTGAGATCAAGACCTAGTTGAGATCAAGAGTCAGATGCTTAACTGACTGAGCCACCCAGGGGCCCCTCTTCTTTTCTAAAAGCATTTTACGATTTTCAGGAGTTTTTCTGCCTTTGTTTAACACCACCACCAACTCTTTAATACCACTCATATTGTGGGGTTAAGGCTAGGTCAAAGGCCGTAGTAGTTAACTGCCTTAACCCTTAAAAGGTTATGTGATTTGCCATGGGAGAGTGTTACTGACAGTGATAAAGCTGTTCTGGGCTTGGCTTAGCTTCTGATTCATTCATTCAACAAACATTTGAATGATAGCCATATTCCAGACACTAGATACAGAGATTACTGAGGCTGTATGGAACAGTGGAGAAGAAAACACGTTAAGAGAAGTTTACAATATGGTATGATTGGGCTTTAACGGGAAGTACATGTTTGTAGGTTTTAGCTCTTCTGTCAATCTTCTGAGTTAGGGGGGGAAAAAAAGCAGATGTCAACAGGTATTAAATGGTATGAATTCTCACTGTATGAAATGCTGTTTGGTTTGAATCCTATGTGTCAGCTCTTAATTGAACTCTAATTGTTTTATGCTGAATGGTTTTTTTATTCTAATTTTTAAAAATTTAAATCGAAGTTAGTTAACAGATCGTGTAATAATGATTTGGGAAGTGGAATACAGTGATTCATTACTTACGTACAGCACCACCCTCATCCCAGCACGCGCCCTCCTCACTAGCGACCGCCCCCTGAGCCCATGCCCCCACCCAACACCACCCCAGCATCTCTCAGATGCTCTCAGGAGGTTTGCCTCCTTCTCCGTTTTTATCTCAGTTTTGCTTCCCTTCCCCTTTGTTCATCTGTTTTGTTTCTTAAGTTCCACATGAGTGAAATCATATATTTGTCTTTCTCTGACTGGCTTATTTCGCTTATATGCTGAATGGTTTTTTACAGTCCAAGTTACTTTTAATTTCCTTATCATGGGAGACTGATTTTTACTTTTACTTCGCCAATGATACCTCTGGACCCGTAACAGGTATTTGATACATGATTGCTTGAGTGAATAAACCTATTAAATAGACTTTTCTAAATTCAATCAAGGATTAATGTTGGCTGTTAGATTCAAGGTGAGCAAAATTAAATTAGTAAGAGGGCTTAAAAAATTCTTAATGAGGGAAGTAGGTAAGTTGTGGTCTCCACTAGTTAGGTGAGACCTTTTAGTGTCAAGAAAAAGAAAGCCTACAGCAAATGGTTGTCCATCTTTTGTTGTTTTTTCCCTTTGTCTTTCCCTTTGCTGGTTTCCCTTCCTTCTTTTGCCTCATAGTGCAGACACATCCCCGACTCCGCTCTTCTCTTTTTACCTGCTCTCTGTGCCACTTCACCCCCTCTCGTCGTGTTGGCTGCCACTTTTGTGCAGATGGTTCTTAGAGCTACGTCTCTATTCCTTTCCTTTTCTGAGTTCCAGAGTCAAATCCGCAGCTGCCGGGTGGGCTCCTTCACAATACTCTAAACTCAATCAGTATGTCTAAGACTACATTACGCATCATCTTCCTGAAAATTTGTTTCCTCCATCATCCATCCGTCCACATGTTTTTCTCCCAGTAAAAGGCGACGGAAGGCCTTTCGTGCCCGGGTACTGTGCTGGACGTTGGGAAGACAGCAGTCAGTAAAACCACGTCAGCTGATGCAACCACCGTTCTAGTCTAGCTCCTCAAGCCTGAAGCCCTGATCTTACCCTTGACTTTCCTTTTCCCAGCTCCGAGTGCAGTCGGTGTGGAAGTTCTGTGCCGTCTGCCTCCGTACGGCGCCCGTCTCGTCGGCACCGCCGCTCCCCGCCGCTGACTTCCCGTGACCCAGGGTCGGGGGGTAAGAAGAGTTTCAGGCGCGGGCAGCTCTGCCCCTAGCTGTCTGCCGATTGCCGCGGGTGGGGCCCTTCCGTCTGGAAGGTTCCGTCTGGAAGGCTCCCATCAGGCAGCCCTCTGCGCGGGGCCACCCTCCCTCGGAGCTGCGCCCCTGGCCGCGCAGGCCCTCGCCGCCGTGGGGTTCTGCTCTTTGTGCGTTTCCTTAACCCGTGCGCAAACCGTTGTCACGCTCCCGTTGTGGATCCTTCTCAAGCCGCCCGGCTAGACCGCTGCCTGTTCCCCGCCAGGCCCCTGACCCTACCCAGGGAGCTGCTCCGCGCGTCCTCACGGCTGCTTGCCTTCATCCTCTCTTCGGGTCAGTCCAGAAGGTTTGTCTCCCGCCCGC